CTCTCGTGCCTGGCGCCCAACTTAGAATAAGAATTATAATTTTGGCCGAAAAACCGCCTGGCTGTCGCAAAATTCTGCTACCGAGGGAGAGAAGATACTTTTGCGTACTTTGAGTACCAGCAGCAAAGGAATGACAGTTTTCGGATCAGTAGAATGAAATTGTTACTGAAACGGTAGATTTCAGGTCTATATGCAGCACGGAATGGCGGTTTTCACATCAATAATATAACATTTTTACTGTAACTTATTTTTCGGGAAATATATATATATCACACGAACACTTCTTTTTTACTTGAATGCCCGATTTTATTCCATAACTTACTCGTATACTTACAGCTTATCCAATACTAGATGTCATGATTACATTTAATTATCAGCATGTCTCTTTAGGCGTTTAACATGGCATGATCGACGATCTAGTAAACATATGACAAACTGTTGAACAAAATTTATTCTTTAAGCGAACAAGAAGTGTCCTTATGATCAAGCTTTATTCTAAAGTATTACAATAATTCTGTGTCTTTTAAGTTAAGCATTATCAAATTGTTTATTCGAAAACATAACAATTATTGTTCTATTTTTCGAAAACTAAACAATCTCAAATGTCAATCCGTTTCTATTATAGACCTGAAATCTATCGTTTCAGTAACAATTTTATACTACTGATCCGAAAACTGCCATTCCGTTTCCGTGCTACATATAGACCTGAAAACTACCGTTTCAGCAAAAATTTTAATATCATCGGCCTGAATACCGCCATTCCATTGTTACACATATCATAAGATCCACGGTTTTAGCAAAAATAATTACAGCCAAGGCCTTTCAGACATAATTCAAATACTTTATGAAACACATATTGGATGTTATGATTATATTTAATTATCAGCATGTCTCTTTAAGCGTTCAACATGGCATGATCGACGATCTAGGAAACGTATTTCAAACTGCTAAACAAAATTTATACTTTAAGTGAACAAGAAGTGTCCTTATGATCAAGGCTTTATTCTAAAGTATTACAGAAATTCTGTGTCTTTTAAGTTGAGCCTTATCAAATTGATTATTCGAAAACATAACAATTATTGTTCTATTTTTCGAAAACTAAACAAGCTCAGACGTCAATCCGTTTGCTATTATAGACCAGAAATCTATCGTTTCAGTAACAATTTTATACTACTGATCCGAAAACTACCGTTCCGTGCTGTATATAGACCTGAAAACTACCGTTTCAAAAATTTTAATACCATCGACCTGAATACTGCCATTCCATTGTTACACATAGTATAAGATCCACGGTTTTAGCAAAAATAATAATGCCACAGCCTTTCAGACATGATTCAAATACTTTATGAAACACATACTTACTTACGTTAAATTCGTCGGTCATTTTGAACGTGAAGTGCTACACGCTGATAATCAATTCTAATAGATATATGTAATGAAATCGTCATTACTATATTATTTGTATTACCTCTATGTATCTGAGGGTATTGCAATTTTTGTTAAGATGTTAGTTTTCGATTTTCTTAATCAATACTTTTTGTCAAAGCTGAACAATCTTAGAACTTCCGTTGTTACCAGCAGTTTACACCTGGTCTGCAATGTGCTTTTTGTTTCCTGTTTCTTTCTATTCATCTCTGTTTGTCTCTTGCCTTTTTGATCAAGAAGGCAAGAGACAAACAGCAAGAAACAGGAAACAAAAAGCACATTGCAGACCAGGCATTACACTGCGCAACATGTCCAACGGCAGTTATGGAAACTTAATGCATATAGACCTGAAAACTACCGTTTCGGAAAATTTTAATACCACGGTCTGAAAATCGCCATTTCATTGTTACACATATCGTAAGATCCACGGTTTTAGCATGATGGAAGTATTAGATGGTGTGTGCAATTCAGCAAACCACGCCTACTTTTCGTCTCCGCCGTAACGCGGTTACCCAATGTACCAACTGTTGAGAGTAAAATTATTTAGCGTTGGCACATTGGCGTGCTGCGTCTACTGTCCTTATTTCACGTTCTTTCTCGAGCATCTGACTTTCTCTTTTTATCCTTGTATGAGGTTATACGGAAAGGAATATTCCATTTTTGCACGCGGATAAAACTTAATTAAGTACATTCTTTTCTTGTCATTTTAGTAAAGTATGTATGCAAAAATATGTATTGTTTATCTGTGATGTTTTATATTATTTACAATATAATTTTCACACTTTAGGCCTGTTCTTATTGGCTGAACTTTTGCACCGGTTCATCTTTCTTTCTCTTCTTTCCTCCTGAAGAGAAAAGGAAGAAAGATGAACTGGTGCAAAATTTCAACCAAAAAGAACAGGCCTAAAGTGTGAAAATTATATTATAAACAATATAAAACATCACAGATAAACAATACATATATTTGGAAAAATAATTTGGAAAAATTTTAAAGTATTGTTCATATATGTATAATGATTTCTATATAATTATATATCAGCAATACTCTAAAATTTCTTCAAACTTGGTTTTTTTGTAAAAGAAACAATGCGAAAAGTATTCTTTTAATTGTTATTTATGTTTCTCATTATTATTAATTTTATACTAAAAAGTATATTTATAAAAGAAAGAAGAATGTATGAATATATAGAACATATATATAGACATATATATATAGACATTTAATATATAATTATATATATTTATATATAAAATATTTTTTCCCCGAATGTATATATGCCACGTTTTGCAAAAACAGACATTAAGCATCCGATATATGGCTCTAATGAGTTGAGTATCTTAATAAAGTATTTTGGAATCAACATGTATGTATTATTTTGAGACAGAAATCTAATAAAGAGGAAGATAAGAAGATGTATTATTTACCCATTTTGCTGCAATGAACAATAAAGAGAATTTAAAATACACAAAAATAACAAACATTTATTTAATATATATATTTGTAGTATTTACAATTTTGGAACCGCTGTGGAAATAACTTTTTTCATTTTTTTCGCTTTTTTTTTCACATCGTTTATCGCGTATGCCCGTCTATTTATCTCTCGACTCTTATGTAAGTGCGACTTTTTACCAAATATCCCAGCATTTCATGAGGTAGTTTGTTAAAATATTCGTCACTATTTTCCACGAGCTCCACAACTTTTTGTATGACAAAGCTGTTTTTTGAAAAATAATCACCGTGAAATTGTACGAAATACTTTTCTACAATTTTAGTCACGTTTACGAGCTCTGCTGAAGGATTAGTGAGAAAACCTTTAGAGATCCATTTTGTTATAGTTCCACCTGCACCTTCGGTAGTTCCTAAAGATGGGTATTTCGCTTTAAATTTATAAGCAACAAAACCTGCGAGGTATTCCAATCCCGCTTCTTCAACAAGATTCAAACAGTTAGATGAGTCCTTAATAAAACCATTCGTCACCATATCAAATAGCTCGTCATCATCGATGTTATCGAAGTAAGTTTCAGTCATTGATTCTTTGTCGTCGTAATCATTGATTTCTTGTAATTCCTCTGGAGAAATATTGATAATGTTGGAAAATAATTCTCTAGTCAGTATTATTTCGTCGTGTTCTTCTATATGTTCGAACCTCGTTTCCTTTTGCAACAAGCTGTTATCTCTTTGCGAAGCAGACAGTACTATTCCTGAAGTTGGCGTAGACGTAACAATATTTCTTGAAGTTGTTGGAGTTACCGAAATCATTGATTGTTCTTCAGCATTTCGATTCGTCTTATCAGTATTGGAAGAAGTTATACAAGAAGCATCCATGTCTTCTTCGGTGTTTTTGTTCAAGGTAAACACAGCTTGCGCATGCTTACCAAGAATGTACCAGCGAAGCCTGTATCTAAAGTCATACGATGACGGATGATCATTGGTCGAACCCATAGCCCTTATGAAAGAAAAAAAATTTTCAAGAATATCCTGCTGAAGTCTTCTCGTGATGATGTACTCACACTCTTCTGGATATTTTTTTTGCAGATACTCGAACAATCCTCGTAGAGATAGATCGCTTACGAGAATGCCTTTTTGGAAAGGCATTAATTCCTTTCTGGAACCAACTCGCATGTTCTCCATGTATGTGCTCATCAATAGTAAATTTAATTTTTGTTCTCTCAAAGCCTGTCCATAACCGTTGACTCCTGGATGCGATCCGTACTTTGATTGCGAATTGTGCACATCGAACCACTTGTTGACTGTCGACACAAAATCTGAAAACTTCAGGTATTCCGAACATTTCAAAAGTTTATGTTCGCCAGCCCATTTGATCGCTTCAGCAGCTGTATTCGACCAAATTCTTGCTGCTAGTTTAACGGATTGACGTTGCGAACCACGGACATTTAGCAATTGCTGAGTAATACGATGAGCGACACGTAGATCGTTAGCACTGCTCATATCGACGAGTACCTGATAGACTGCACGAGTGAAGAGTTCATTGCTATTTCCCAGTAACAATCCAGCGTCGAAGAACCAATTCCTCAGGAGTTTTAGCAGATGTGGAACATCTGCAAAAACAAAAATTTTTTCCTCTTCGTTTACAGGATGGTAAAAAAAGTATTTCTTGGGACTGATGTCCAATTCTCTCCAGACTCCTCGGTTACCCATGTCAGAAACTGTAGCGATAACTTGATAATCAGCATTGTGTAAGAATCTTATGGCCTCCAGTAGAATGCACTGGTTCATTGGCTGGTCAAACTTATAATAAATTGGTTGTTTCCAATTGCTGAATAAACCACGAGCCATCATGATCTGCACTTTACTATGTGGGCCAACCAATTTTTCGAGTTTACCATCGAAATTTACTTCCGAAGAGACGGCCATTTCATCGAAACTGAGAACAGTAACTTTCTCCAGCGACGACATTTGCTTGCCCTTTTCTCGCATTACAGCTAGAACGTCAGTTAAGAATCCTTCTTCGATGTAGAACTTTTTCAATGCCCACCTTCTTAACGACGCTAACGATGGTAAAGGAAAATTTAATTTTATTTGAAGAAAGCGATAGGCTTTGGGACTTACATTCCATAATGAAATGGTTGCAGCATAATCATCAATAGACCAGTGAACCCATTTCCTCTCCTGCAAAATATACCGAATTTGCCCTTGTGTAAAGTAGGGTTTTAATATCTCTTCCACTCTGTCACTGATGTATTTTTCATTCTTGACTGCAGCATCGTTGATTGCAGTAGAGCTTGCCAATTGTACTTGAAGATCATTAATAATTTGCTGCATTTCTTTATTTTCGGCAGATATCTTTTCTATTTGTTGCTTCAATGCCTCGTTCTCCAATTCTACCGATGTTAGTTTTATGGAATGCATACAATTTGATTGCATGCAAAATTCATGGAGTGAACGATAATGATGCAATTCCGCTTTAAGTGATATTATATCTGCTTGCAAATTGTACATTTCATCAGTCGGTTTTGGGCCACTGCTATTAATGCTGTCACTACAGTTCTCCATAAAAAATCTGGAAAGATGTTATCATGTAATTTACGGCAGAAAAAAGCAATACACAACATTTTTGTTGAAAATATATTTTTTTGTAATTTAAAGCCAGATGATATAATAGAGTTTATAGTCATACGTTTTTCACGAGAAAAATTACATCATATTTATAACACAAAATAAAAAAATTACATATAATGAATTGTGTAAGAATCTTATGGCCTCCAGTAGAATGCACTGGTTCATTGGCTGGTCAAACTTATAATAAATTGGTTGTTTCCAATTGCTGAATAAACCACGAGCCATCATGATCTGCACTTTACTATGTGGGCCAACCAATTTTTCGAGTTTACCATCGAAATTTACTTCCGAAGAGACGGCCATTTCATCGAAACTGAGAACAGTAACTTTCTCCAGCGACGACATTTGCTTGCCCTTTTCTCGCATTACAGCTAGAACGTCAGTTAAGAATCCTTCTTCGATGTAGAACTTTTTCAATGCCCACCTTCTTAACGACGCTAACGATGACAAAGGAAAATTTAATTTTATTTGAAGAAAGTGATTGGCTTTGGGACTTACACTCCGTAATGAAATGGCTGCAGCATAATCATCAATAGACCAATGAACCCATTTCCTCTCCTGCAAAATACACCGAATTTGCCCTTGTGTAAAGTAGGGTTTTAATATCTCTTCCATTCTGTCACTGATGTATTTTTCATTCTTGACTGCAGCATCGTTGATTGCAGTAGAGCTTGCCAATTGTACTTGAAGATCATTAATAATTTGCTGCATTTCTTTATTTTCGGCAGATATCTTTTCCATTTGTTGCTTCAATGCCTCGTTCTCCAATTCCACCGATGTTAGTTTTATGGAATGCATACAATTTGATTGCATGCAAAATTCATGGAGGGAACGATAATGATGCAATTCCGCTTTAAGTGATATTATATCTACTTGCAAATTGTACATTTCATCAGTCGGTTTTTTGTGCCACTGCTATTAATGCTGTCACTACAGTTCTCCATAAAAAATCTGGAAAGATGTTATCATGTAATTTACGGCAGAAAAAAAGCAATACACAACATTTTTGTTGAAAATATATTTTTTTGTAATTTAAAGCCAGATGATATAATAGAGTTTATAGTCATACGTTTTTCACGAGAAAAATTGCATCATATTTATAACACAAAATAAAAAAATTACATATAATGAAATAAGTACCGTTGTGTACGTGTCGACAAAGGAGTATTTTTCATGCTGTTACATGTTAATGTTCTTTCCGGGGTAATGCTTCTTTTCGACTTTTGCACTTTACCACGATGTTCGTGCTTCCTTGAAGCGCTCGTTCTTCTATGGTATGTGTATGGCATACATCTCAGTGATCTATAAAAAATCAATGACAGTGTTTATTGTAATGCTTGCAGATGTAATGTTTTAGCGATCATATCTTGATGAATGCACTGCTACCATACCTTCTAGGAAACGTTTTACTGAAATCGGTTCCAAGTGTGTGTAATGCACTTGGTGGTGTACGAGTGACTCGGAAGGATTCATTCAACCATGGATTACTATATAAACATAAAACAGAACATAATATTGACAATTAACAAAGTGATGTGAATGAAGAAATGACATATGAGAATTTTACATTATAGGTAGTAGATAAATTACGTTACAACGTATTGAAGTCCAAAAATAATATTGTTAATATTCGAATCATTTTTTATTTTACCTTGTAGAGCATACTGTTGGTGTTACCGCAATGCTATCATCGCAAGATTGACTCACTGCATCAATCCCACTGCTACTTTCTACATTTTCGTCTCTGCTTGTGTCTGGATTGCAGACAAGTGGAAATTCTCGACGAATAATTTTAAAATCCATGTTTTCCATAGTATTTGTTCTAAAATGTGTTTAAAAATGCATGGTGTCATTTATCACACATTATTGACATATTATGTAGCCGAAAAGTTTACATTCAATAATGGTACGTTTTGGAAAAATTAATGTATTCGGATTATTTATTACACACTCAAATTTTTAGAAAAGCATTCTAAAATTTTATTTTTAATCGAGTCGGAAACATTTATGAACAATAATTATACCTGTCTTCTGCTGGTGTTAAAAATAATGTTGGTACAGCACTGCGTAAAAGGTGCAATATTGTCTTCTTCTTTGCAATTTTTGATTTCCTTTTTGGTACTATGAATGAATCTTCCGAAAAATGCAATGAACACACTTTTGCTAAACAAAATATATAAAATGTAACTATAATATGTTCCAGAAATACAGAAAAACCATACACGTTGGTCGCCTTAAAATTGTACATAGTGTAATGCATTGTAATGGAAATTGAGTCTACATTAACTATTGCTGTATATACAGTGGCATGCAAAAAGTTTCTGGTCAGTGACATCTTATACTTTAATTTATTTTTAAAAAACTTAATAAAATTGTAATTATTTTCACGTGTTAGTACAAGATTTCGTTATCCACCTCTTGTATTAACACTCGATAATGATTAAAATTTTATCAGGTTTTTATTTTTAAATTCAAATACTAAATGTCACTGGCTGGAAACTTTTGCACGCCACTGTATGTCCAATTTCATGAAAACTATCTTATAAATATAAGTACCAGTGACTGTAAGTGTAT